CCTTCCAGCCACCTCAACCTCTGCCATCCCCTTCTCCTTTTGCCATCAATCATTCCCAACATTCCCTTTTCCAATGAGTCCTTCCTTCTCATAGAGTATTTGAGCTCTATCAAAGGCAGCAAAATGCCAAATATGAATTTAAACAATCATACTTATCCAAGAGGACTGCAGGTGGTGCAGTGGTTTAAACCGCTGTGCTGCTGGGCTGGTTGATCGAAAGGTCGCCGGTTCAAATCTGCACAATGGGGTGAGTTCCCGTTGCTCCATCCCAGCTCCTGCAAACCTTGCAAATGCAAGGAGATAAAAAGCATGCAAATGCATGCAAAAGCATGCAAATGCAAGTAGATAAAAAGGTACCACTTGGGTGGGGCAGGTAACAGCATTTAGTCATGCAGGCCACATGACCACGGAGACTGCGGACAAACGCTGGCTCCCTCGGCTAGGAAATGGAGATGAGCACCGCCCCCTAGAGTCAGGCATGACTGGACATAATGTCAAGGGGAAACCTTTACCTTTACCTAACCTTTACTTATCCAAGACAGAATTTCTGTTGACCCATATGTGTCTAACACACTGGGAAAGACAGGAAATATAAGAACAAAATGTGAGTATAAGGGCTTGTCTGCATGAAGAAGCATCAATTGTATACTCATCATCTGTAATTCATCTATCAGGACTATTTATATACAGAAAATGTGTACCATAAAAAGTCTTGCAATTCTAACTTCATAACATGGAGAGCACTGAAATCAATAGGATTTAATTGAAGATTGGGCTGAGAGATGTTCACTTCATGTTCCTTCTTAACTGTTCTTTACTGTTCAATTCAGGTCTCAGGATGATTATATAACACTTTGGTGAAAAGATACAAGCCAATAACCCAGTGGCAGAAGACAAGATGGAGAAGATCTCCACAGACACCATGTACTTTCCCCTTGTGCTGAGGTATGTTGGGACAAAGGACAGCCACACACTGCAGAAGACTAGCATGCTGAACGTGATGAATTTGGCTTCGTTAAAAGTGTCTGGCAGCTTCCGAGCAAAGAAAGCCACTGTGAAGCTGACAAGAGAGAGGAGTCCAATGTAGCCCAGGACATAATAGAACATGTTGGTTGAACCTTCATTGCATCCCACAGTGATTTCTTCGGGAAAGGAGTGCATGTCCAGTTCTGGGAATGGAGGGTCAGTGCTCAGCCAAGCCACACACACCACTGCTTGTAGCAAAGAACAGCACAGGACAATGGAATTGGCAAGTGTTTTCCCCACGCATTTCCTCACCCTCGATCCTGGCTTTGTGGTCCAGAAAGCAAGAACCACAGTGATGGTTTTGGCCAAGAGAGAGGAAACGGCCACTGTAAAGATGACACCAAAAGCATTTTGTCGCAAATAACACATTGGTGTTTGAGGCCGGCCAAGAAAGAGCAAGGAGCAGAGGAAGCAGAGCAGGAGGGAGATCAGGAGAACATAGGTAAGGCTGCGGTTGTTGGCTTTGACGATGGGGGTTTTGCGGTGCTTGATGAAGAGTCCAAGCACGGATCCGGTGATCACCGAAAAGGACAGAGCCAAAACAGCCAAGCTGGCACCCAAAGGCTCGTCGTAAGTCAAGAAGTTGAGAACTTTGTCAAGGCAATCATTCTTCTGCTTATTAGGATACTGAGCTCGTGGACATTCAGAACAATCGTCCATATCTAAAACAAATACATGTTGGTTTCAGACAGATCATTGCTATTATACCATGGTCCTTTT